TCTCAAGTGACAATAAATACAACAATACATCCAACAATTTACTTTTCATGACACCTTTCTATATTTCAGAGCCACGTCGATACATTCTTTGAATTTATTTCTTTATTTATATTTGACGTCGCCGACAATCTTGCATCATTAACTTTTCAATAAATATTTCACACTATACATTATCAACTAATGAATTTGGTTACAGTCTATATTTATTTTTCGTGCTCGTAATCCTTCGGGTTCTTTACGGACAATTCGAGATTTTTGGAGTCGGCCCAGCTCATCAGTAAGGTGGTAAAGATGAAAGCTAAAAATTTTTAAGACAAGGTGATAATACATTATCATCGGGACTATACATCATTATCCACGATACTTACGGGGTGTAACTATGAAAATATTTTCCTGCAATCTGCGTAGTACATTTGGAAAGCCATGTTTGATTATTCCGACAAAAGGCTTTTGCTCATACGGGCTCAATCTATAGTAAATCACCCTAGTGATTTTCGCCAAATTCCCAAAAACCATATGCATCTTTCTGCTATCTAAAAAAATAATTCGTTTACACAAACAATTATAATAAGCATATACTTATATATACGCGCGCGCACACAGACAAACAAGCAAACAAACAATTATTTATTTATTCCCATAAGGACGTCGATCGAACAACAAAACTCCTTACATAACCACAATCACGAATTCGAAAATTTTTAGGTTCTACATTAACAAACTGACAGCATCAATGCAACTCGTATTTGCGATTTCAATTAAAAGCACCTCGATATATTACAACGAACGATTATATAATGATCTATTAATTTCTTCACTTACTTTGCGTACAACCTCGGCTCAATTACAAAATAGTGAACCATTCAACGATCACTCAACACTGCAGCTGATTTCACGCCACATAATCTGGAAGTCACGTTAATGCCCGATTTTCAACGCCAATATTTCCAAGGCGGGCAATTCAAAACGCCAGTCCAATACATCAACCAATCGAACGCCTCGTGCAAAAGGAGCGACGATTTAAGAATGCCAATGCGTTATTCCTTCCAAGTCGCTAGTTTGCACGTACTGACTTGACCTGTCGCACGCCTCGTCATCTCTAGCGCATAAGCCATTGGAAAGTCTAAAGAGAGAGAGAGAGAGAGAGAGAGAGAGAGGGAGTATTTGCATGCGTGCATGCTTATGCTGTTGATTAATGCCGTAGGCTCAACTTGGCCCTCGATTCTTATATCAGAATTTCGTGTGCGATTTTTCGTGTGCGATTTTTCATGGCGCGATACTGCCCTCCCATTGGTCTAAGCGTACGCGCGCATCAACGAATTTTATAGCATTAGAAAGAGAGACGCTAGACGGCCGAAAATTACTTACGATGCTTTAATACGGAAAAAGTGCCTTGAAAATTTTAAGTACGTTTAGCACCATAATATTAAGTGCAATAAGGGCCAGTGCACGAGAATACGCTCGATAAATGTATATTATAATTAGTAGGAATATTTGCTGCTACTCGTCGAGTTTTTAAACTTTTACTTCATAGTAATAACCATTTTATTAATATCAATTAGAAACTGTGAAGTATTGCGCAGGATTTTTAATCAACGCTTACAATTCTGAAATGTGTGTGTTTGTGTGTTTGTTTGTGTGTGTGTGTGTGTGTGTGTGTGTGTGTGTGTGTGCTCTTGGGAGAACACTCGTCAATATACAAAAACAACATCTGTATTTCTTATTGTAGATCTCTATTAAATATCTTAATTTGCATTTAATTTTATTTAAATCTTTTTCATTTTTCAAGATAAAAAATCTATTTATTTGTAGTTTGAGGTTTCGATAATAACAATAAATGATAACAACGGCAACAAGAACAACACTACCACCACCAACACAACAACAACAACAACAACAATAACAAAAAATTAATTCTGGACGCTTCGAATAATTTACGTAAATACTCAATGTATTGAGTGCGTGTGCGCAGAATTTGCGTAAATATATAATCATACTTTTTTTTGCCAAACGTCTACTCAAATAAACAATGTTTTTATTTAATAATGGAAAAGGATAATTACATTATGAATTTAGATAAATGGCAAATTCATAAATAAAATTAATAAACACCAAGGCTATTTTGTTCAGCATGTTATTATCTATTTTTAAAAATTTCATAATTACCATCAATTCCAAAAACTGAATTTTCTTCAACATATAATGAAACACACGAAAATTTATCGTCCCCTTTCATTTATATACGCTCATTTTTTACATCCTTAACTTTTACAATGTTATTAATAATAACAACAACAAAATAAGTAATTAATAATCATAATAATTTGGCACGATGCATAAGCCAACCTTTTATAAATGACTTAAAACAAAATTTCTGGCATATAATGTTATAAATTTGCTTAGTATAGATAAACATATCGATGATCACGCGATTATATCGTTTTAAATTTAAATAAAAAAAATTTATAAGCACATTCTTAAATGGTTAATTAAAATATTTTTCTTCTTAATCATCTTCTCCCAGTTTTAGAGGAAAGCCATATGCGTTAAGTATTGCGCGCACAATAGATTTCGAAATTTCTTGATGCTCGCAAACAAGGAATTATTCATTATTCTTATTAATAAATTTATTCTTTTAATTATTATTATGTCACTGTCTCCATATATATATATATATATATATATATATATATTTTTTTTTTTTAATTGAGTTTTTATCTTAACCTACGTAATTCGTAGATATTTCGCTTATTTTTTATTATAGATGTATTAAATACGACTTACTTTACTTTCAAATAAATAACTTAATTAATACAATTCTTAGACATGAAAGTCTTTTAAAGTAAATTTTCAAATCAATAATATAAATAAGAATGTCTTACGATCATTTGTTTCAGAGTTTCAATTATGAAATACGTTTATAATGTTGAGATGAAAGGATAAAAGAGCGAAAATCTATAAAAATTTTCTGCTACATTTTAAAATTTAATTCTTTCGCCGTATAAATTGAAAATTATGAATCTACTTTCTCATAACACATAGACCAATTTCCACATACTCAAGCATAATTTTTATAATAATCTTTATCGATAGTTCTGTTTTAATAATTAAGAAGAATACATTGTTTACAATTATGAGGCGTAAAGTATTATGAAGTTGAATCGGGAGTAATGGTTTAAGACATTTATAATATAAATTATATTATATATTTGTAGATTATTTTAAAGTAATTGTACTAGCCTTCGCGTCTCGGTATAAGTGCAAAAAACATTTATGCTATAAATCGGCACCTAATCTTTACAGTTTTTAAAATAAACGGATAATTTGAAGTTTTTTTTTTTTTTTTTTTTTTTATTTCCGTAACATTTTCAGTCATAGAAAAAAGCAATAATCAAAATATCCAAATACAAAGTAAGTAATTTCAAGGTTAGCGCTCACATGGAATTATAATGGCTAAAGTAGGATTAAATAAAAGATAAGGTATGGATTCTTTTTTTTTGTAACAATTAGAAGATGAATGTGCTATAATTCAAGAGGCCCTCTCTTGTAGATCATCCGAGGAAATTGAAATTAAAATGTATGGCAAAGAAAAGAATCATCGGTGTTAGTTTATTTAAAAAGAAAACAGAAGGACAAACAGAATTCCAAAACAAAAAAAAAAAACAAAAAAAAAAATGTCATTCTATTTTATTGCATACGACGAGTGTTGCGAATATTATTTTAGAATTGACTACTAACATAAGCCATATCCTGTGATATCGCAACTTTGAGCACATATGCATACAGATAGGCACGGGGGCCCATGAACGCATACGTACACAGTAGAGCGAAAGAATCGTCTCGTTGGCTCAACAGGTCGTCTTCTCGCGGACGACTCGTTGATTTTCTCTTGCGAAGCAGGCTTACGAGGTTTTCATTCTTCTCGTCTATTATGTCGCATATCGTAGTCTCACTACTTCGTTCACGTAGAAAATCTACCGTACACGCGCACGTGTTCTCCTTCTTCGCTACCATCCTCCAGACTTTCCCCTTGGCGCTGTTGGATACTCACTCGCCTCGATAGTTCGATGAATAGCCGCGAGGGACTGCTAGTTACAAGTTAGTAACAATTGTGGACAGATTTGGCAATTCGTATTTCGACGAGGTCCCGTTTTATCCAGGATCGCGTTTTATGAATAAGTCGGCGATTTTAGCGATTTACCAGGACATTCCTCGGACAATTTGTGTCCAAAAACGTCTAAAAATGACATCGAGTCCAATTGACGAGAGCAAAGGAATATGCATTCGTTCCTAGCTCTTGCTTCTTCCAATCGCTCTTCTAGTCATTTCGAAAGCGAGTAGGTGCATATGAGCAAGGGTCGTTATTATCCCGGACAAGTAGCGAGCGCCTCTCTGTAGACGTTTGCAATTCGAGGACGATATTCGAGGACACGGCATAAAAGAGAAACAGAATTGCGGGGAGTCGCGATAGGAAAGGACGATTGTGCGACGAGTGCATACGTCGTCGTCAGCCACGATAGAAGGGGGAGAGTGTGAGTGCGAGAGAGATGGAGTTATTACTAGGGTTGTAGAGGCAGCCGATTGTCGGGAGGACAAGAGTCGTAAGTGGATACCGTTGATTTACCTTGGATTCTCTATTGAGAGAGTAAGAAGTGAGCCTTTATAAAAGTGACGATCGAACGCCAT